CACCCTCACATCACCACATCAAATACAGTGAGATGTCCCCATTTATTTTTTTTTTTTTTTTTTTTTTTTTTTTTTTTTTTCAAATGTGTTTTCACACTTTTTTATTCTGTAACAAAGTTGATGGCACTTGATCAAAGATCTGAGTCTAAACATGAAATCTGCAAACTGGAAGGAAACCCAGTCCAAAAAATGATTTTGTATCTGAAAAATTAAGATGAATATTTTAAATAATTTCTACCAAAAATATATAGTAAAATAAAATGCTTAAAGTAAGAAAAAAAAATAAGATAAAATAAAAAAATTCAAGGCTAGAAGTTCAATTTCCAATTCAAGTTCCAAATCTGTTATTTCTTCAATAAAATATATTTTAATGCATTGACTCGCCCCTCCCTGACTGTTTTAGGCCTGTGTCCGGACTGGGAGAGCTGGGACCCAGTGAAACCAGTGGAGAATGCGACTGAGGCCATGCAGCTGGCCGACAGCTGGCTGGGCATCCCACAGGTGGGCTTCCCTCCTCTAACCCCCCGTTTACTGCAGGTCGAGTTATTTAGGGTTGAAAACTGGAGGTCAACGGATAAAAAAAATAATTACAAAAACATGCATTTAAAAAAAACAAAAACAAAGCAGAAGCTATGCAGGCGTTGAGTTTGCATTTAAGTTTGATTTGGGGTTTGGTTTAAGTAAGTTAATGTAGTTTTATGTCGGCTGTGAGTTGAGATAAAGCACCAGATGTGGTGGGGGGTTAGTTATTAAAATGTCTTTTAATAACTAACTAACCAGCTGAATTCAAATAAATAGCATGATGATTGAATTTGAGTTTGGTTTGGGGTTTGGTTCAAGTAAGTTAATGTAGTTTTATGTCGTTTATGAGTTGCAAAGGATGAAATAAAGCATCAGATGTGGTGGTGGGGGGGATTAGGGCACATTTATTGTAATAACTAACCAGCTGAATTCAAATAAATGGCATAAGGATTTCATTTGAGCCTCTGAAATGCTGGAATGACTAAACAGCCACTCTGAGCCTTAAAATAAATCCGACTTATCAGGTCGGTAAAACCTGAATGACATTCCTCCGTAACTTTTAAACGGTTAATAGGTGGCTGTTCAGCTCCACCGGAAGCCGAGTCTGTAATGAAAGCGTCTTCCTCCTGTTCAGTCTGAGGGGGCAGCTTTCCCCCGGAGGTCAAAGGTCATCGGCAGCCCTGCCGTTGGGTTTCCTGTTTGGTTGTTTTTTTTCCCCGCATGCTTTTGTGTCCACTGCCTTAAAGGTCTCACTCAGTGGTGGAAAAATAGTGACCTCTGACCTGCCAGGTTTTATTTGGATGCTTCACATTTGAAGAAAACGGTCGTTTTCTCCCTCGTTCCTCTCAAAATCCACCCATTACCATCAGGGGACGAATTCTAGCGCACATCTGTATTCAGGACTCAGATTATTGGTGCTAAACACATTGGATTTTATCAGCTTTGATCTTCTTATGTTGTGTTATGTGTACGCCCAGATTTTATTTTTATTAAATTTTTTCAAGCATTTTAATTGTAACTCAGCTCTGGGCCAGATTTTATTCTAAAAAGCAGGAAATTCTTCTCTCAAGTCACATTTCAGTTGCCTTTAAATGCTTTGTTTTGAATAATTGGGGTCCTTTTTAAGCCTAATTTGAATTAGAAACGGTTTAATTAAGGCTTTGTGGTGGAGGTCCAGGTCTGTAATACTGCCCAGTCAGCATTTTTCTTCTTTTCTCCATCATATGAATTCTGTCTGATAATAAATGTTGCACTTTAATGTTCTGTTTTACTTTGGGATAAATTTCAGCAGGGGACTTATTGCTCCAAGAAGCATATTAGACCACTTTAATTGAAAATGGCTGATCTTTAGGGGTTTAACAGTTTGGCTTGTGTCAGGATTAAAAAGTTAGTAGTGGAGTTTTTCTTTTCTTGTTTCCACATAAGATCCTCTTATACAGAATTAAGGTGCCCTGATGACGGGCTGAATTTCACTTAAAATAGTTTTTTATGGTCCATATTGTTTCTCATGAGGACCGTAATGGAAAAATAACTTCTCTGAGTTTCTATCTCGGGGGGTTTGGGTTAACTCTCTGTTGGTGTGATCAGGTGATCGCCCCAGAGGAGATAATCGACCCCAGCGCGGACGAGCAGTCGGTGATGACGTACCTGTCCCAGTTCCCCAAAGCCAAGCTGAAGCCCGGGGCCCCGCTCAAGCCCAAACTCAACCCCAAGAAGGCTCGGGCCTACGGACCAGGTAGGGTAGCTGAGACGGTTTGGGGAGGGGTGTGTGTGTATGTGTGTGTGCCCCTCACAAATGCTCATTTAATGTCAAATCTGAGGGGTCTGAGGATGGAAACACCTGGAAATGCCGGCCCAACAATGGGAGGAAACCGGCCGCTGTTGGTGTGGACAATAAGCCGACACACACACACACACACACACACACACACACACACACACCAGGGCTGGTTACCGGGGGATCCTGGGAGGAAGTGCTGTGGAGGCGTCAGAGGCTCCCCTTCAGCCACTTTATATATCTCCATATTGCTGCTGGTACCATTGATAAAGCTTCAGTTTTGGGGTCTAAACATTTTGAAATTTTGACCTGGTTCAGATGATAACGAATTGAACTCTCAAACCGTTTTACATCACATAATAATGCACACTGTGCCGGTTATCTTTAGGACGGCTCTTACTGGAGCAATAACTGCTGATAAAATGTTACAGAATGAGGCATCGGAGTGAAGATTGAGGGGAAAAAATTCTGTTTACAAGTGAGAATGATGAGATTT